CACAGGTGAAGCATCCCTCCCCCCCTCCAGGCAGGACTGCTGTGGGAGGGAAGGAGCTGGAGCTTGCCCAGGGAGCATTATCTCCCAGCTCTTCCCCAGTCCCACACCCTGTAACACTGCATGCTCCTCTCCTCTGCGGGTTTTCATGTGGCTGCCAGGCCACAGAATTGGTCTTCAGAGCTTTGTCAGATCAATTGTGAATTGAACATTCTGGCGCATTCACGTTTTTGAATCTAAAGCCCAAGTCACAGCAAACCCCAGAGGCAGACTCTGATATAACAGTGGCCTTTCTGCTGCCACATGGCATGAGCCCTGAGCGTGGACATCTGACGTCGGGGTGGCCCATTTGGCCCCACTGCAGCCTGGGAACAGACGCATTCACAGTCCTTTCTGAAGCTCCTTCCTCCACAAGGTTAGCAATTGCTAATGACATTTGCAGGGAAAGAAAGTATTTTCCTCAGCTCTTCTGCTTTTCGGTACTGTTTTGCTCTCTGGCATTATGTTGCTGTGTTTGTGATACAGGCATCTCCACAGCAACAAGTCACATGCAGGGCTATGACTTCAGCCAGGGAACATGCAGAAAGCGTCGATGAGCTGTCAAGCAGCAAAAACGTTGCTCCAGCACGGAGGCAAGAGGCAGACGGTGACCCTGTGCTCGGTCTCTGGCTGCCTTCTTCCCAGCAAGCCCCCACTGGAGGTAATTTAGGCTCAAGAGAGAAGAAAGCCCTTCCAAAGGAACTTACTATTTCAGTGTCTGTAGAGTAAGGCCTAAAAAAGGCCTCAGACTTTGGGCAACTATTTCTGAGTAGTATTAATAAAAAATGAAAAAAATAGGCAGAAAGTGCTGTCATCTGACCTACCACCATAAAGCTCCCTAAACAGTCTGGTGTTGATGACACTTCAGCTTGATGCAAGAGAAACACAGCAAAGCAAGCGACAGTCTGAGCAAAAATGTGCCAACAAGTTCATCTTTAATCAGTAATTAACAAGCAGTTTTACTCATTCATCAGAGCGTGAAGACTTCCCCTGCTGCATATCTGGCACTGCATATCTGACACTGCCTATCTGGCCCTGCTCTAAGCATTTTTTTAAGCCCATGTATTAGCATCACATTAAAGTGAATTTCCTGAAGGGCCAGGAAGGGGTGATGTTTGCTAACATGCTATGTCCAGCAGTGCAAGAACTGTACAACAAAGGTAAAAAAATCTCTTTGTCATTTTAGCTGTGATTTTTTTCAGACCAGAACAGGGCCCCTCTATGGAGATGCCTCCATTCTGGTAGAGGCCTCGAGGGTATGCTGGACTTCTGCACAGGTGCCTGACACCCATGGAAAATTTTATCTGTTGTGTCTCTGTGGCTGAAATTTCTACAAGTATCTTTCACCTTCATTGGAGGTTTTACTCTGACCAGGCTGCTGGACTAAAAAGCTCAGGGAAATGATCAGCATGCCTGTGCTTTGCCTGTAAAAAGGCCTGCGGATGGGAAAAGTGGTGTCCACATCCTTGAAAAAATTTGTGCCAAATTCTAGGCTATTGCTTAGAAGGCTGTTCCAAAATCTTAGTAAAATCAAATTAGCTTATTTATATTCTGCAATTTATGTGTATTTTGTTATTTATTAGCAATTAAAATCAAGTTTCCTGATTTGGATCTCTGCAATATTCTGGATCTGGCTTTACATTTGAACATTGATCTGGCTTTCCATTTAGGAAAGACTGTTGGTTACCAAAAAGAGGGAAGTACTTTTTGCTAAAGAAGGTAACTCCATTTTTCCTGCTCTGTTTACTATGTTAATTACATCAGTTGATTAAACTAATGATGCAAACCCCAGAAGGGAAAGACTTTACTCTTGAAATTGGCAAAAAGGAAGTTTATCCTGTGCCTCCCAGGACATGCAATAACACAAAGTGTGCTCTTATGCCACATGGTCCAAGTAGATTTGGAGTAACTGCAATACTTCTGAAGAGAAGAAAACCAAGATTTTAAAAAGCCTTATGGTGCTGAAAAAATTCATAAACTCATTCAGGCACACCAGGCCAATTTCAACTCTCTCAACTGCTTACCTGCGCCTGGCAGCTCAAGACCAGTTACAAAGCAATAATATTTGAGGCTTTTATCTTGTGAGAAGCACTTTGCTGGTAAATAGTGCATTGAGATTGCACATGCTGCCTTCTAGTGCTGGCATCAAACCCCACTGTGTTCATGAGTGCTGGTGTATGCACTCTATGCACATGCACAATGCCCTGCGCAGCACCCGCTGTGTCCTGGTAGAACACGCCGCTTTCACGTGTGAGGTGAGAGCCCTCACTCCATAATGATGTGCAGCAGATAGCACTGTCGTGAAAAGCAGCGCCTGACGCCTCACATTGCCCTGAAGGACATGGGAGACTGGCACACTCCAAGTTGCAGCTTTCTAACACCAAGATGTGTGTTGTGAGTAGCCCAGTGGGTCAGCATATAGGAACGGTTTCTCTCCCCAGGGCTACCATGTGTGGGGCAGATAGTGTTTCTCCCCTCACCTCCTTCTCTCTCCCTGCCTCCTCCTGTCAGCCATGTTCCTGCAGTTGTGTTCAGCTGCTTGCATATTCTACACTGGCCATTTAAAAAAAGAAAATACAGCTTATGCAGTGTAAATGTATTTAATCTTTTTCATTATAAAACCCAGGAAGATGATTGTAGTTTGTGGGCATGTACAAGCAGTAGCTGTATAAATACATTATTTAAAAATTCACTGCTTAGTGGACATCTGTAGCATGAATTTTCTTAACTAGTTAATGCATTTTAAAATACTATATATTAAAGAGCAACTAACACTTAGAATGCGTTCCCCACTGCACCTGCTGTGGATTAAGGACTCACACATGGATGGTTAGGGCAGCAGTATCTGATCTCATTCAATCTTATGCCTCATCTTAAACAATCCTAATGTGACTAAACAGTGTCCATACAAAAGGTTTTGCCAACCTGGTTAAATCACTTTCTAACAGAACAACAGCCTCTCTTGCGTGCCCTGCCCTGTGCTGGCCAGGAGAGGAGTCCAAGAGCACTTGGGTGCAGCACTGGAGGATGTCACTTCTGAAACGCACCGTTGAGCCACAGCTGCCCCACAAAACACCTCTCTCTGAGTCACTAAAAAATATTTCCCAGTGTTGTCTGTGTGAAGGTGCATTGTGTTATTAGTTCCTGTTTGGGCTTTTAACAGGCAAAAAAGCCTGGTTTGTAAATAATCTAATTTCCAGGTACAAAGGTGAATCATGTTGTGATGTAAGGTGAAGAAGTATTAAGCTTGGAGCATCCTGCTCCCTAAAGAAGCTTTTGGTGCTTCATCCTGTAGGATGAAGTTAAGTTATTAATTAAATTATTAGTTAAGTCCTTCCACCTGCTAAACAAATGGAAGCATACTAAAGTAAATACATTATGCTAAGCATTCCATGTATTCTGTTATTTCCTGGAAGCAGATCCGTGAGAGATGCTGTCTGCAGTGCTCTGGTCTTTGAAAGAGTCAAGCCAGCAGCAAGAGCTGCTTCAGACAAAGACATCCAGACATCCTTCAGACAAAGGGGACCTTGGGGGCAACTGCTGAGGGAGAGACGTGAGGATTGGCATGCCCCACTGCTCCTGTGGTAAGAAGCCTTCCCTCCAGCCAGCCCACAGTGCAGAAGTTTACAGCGGTTACAGAAGGGAGGCCCAGTTCTGGTGTGACTTCTTTCCCCATCTTGCAGGGCTGTACAGCAACTGGGAGAGGCCATCGCTGAGTGCCAGTCCAGCCTGTCCCTGCTGGCTTCTGCCTTCCCACCCCACCTGGGCTCCAGTCATGCCAATATAAATGAGCAGGTCTTGGAGAAACTCTGTTTCACTGAAGGGCAGCCCTTGCAGCGGCCTCGGTGAGGAAGCTGTGCAGATGAAGACGTCTTCTTTCCCAGTCCTCAGTGCAGTCACCTTTGCTGCCCATGCTAAGGCTGGGTAGATGGGTTGGCTGGGGCTGTGTGCTGCTCTAACAGCACACCAGGTTTGGGTTAGCCGGTACATGCCATGAGATGGGCTGTACAGCTCTTGCCAAACTGTGTTGTTAACTCATGCAACATCCTGTCAGATGAGATGGTGAACCTTTGTGCCTGGACAGTACCGCAGTGGTAGAGGAGTGGAAAGAAATAGCAAGAAATGCTGACAATAATTCCTGCTGGTGTTGACTGCAATATCTCTTTGCCGTGGTTTCAAGGCTGCTTTTACCTGCAGGTTGCACCTCCAGAACACCCTGGGAGCATGGGCAGTTCAGGGATGCAGCTCCAAGAAACAGGTCGCTTTGCAAGCTTAGGTCTTGTGCACTGCGCCCTGCAAGTGCACAGCCCTCTTGCACTATGTGCAGAGAGTGGGTTGAACAAGTGGAGCGGAAGCCAGCCAGGTTTCCTCTGCAGCAGTGCCCATGTGGCTGCTCCCCCAGCTGCCACCCACGCGCCACCTCTGCCCTGTGCTGTACCCACTGCTGACAGCCAGCCCCTGCTGGGGCGCTGCCCAGGCTCAGAGCTGCTCTGCTGCTTTATGAAGGCTGGCAGTGGCTGGTGAAGCTGAGCAGGGGGACAGCGTTTCTCTCCCTGGGTTAAGCAAGGGAGGTTTTTAGCAAGCTTTGCAGCATGCGGCAAGCTCTTGCTCTGCAGGGTGTTGGGTGGAAGGGCTGTTACTTGCACAGGAAGCCCAGACATCGCAGTGGCCACAGCAGAAATAACAAAAATGTGTCTAAATGTTTCTGGCTGGTAAGACCAGCCATGCTGTGTGCCAAAGTGAGGGCCAGCCAGGCAGCTATTATCTGTGGCTCACAGCAGGAAGGGAGCCCCAGGGACTCCGCCCTAACCACTGCCCCACTTCCAGGGACTGTGAGCGAGGGCCTTGTCAGGCAGCCTGAGGCCTTCCCCCTGCCAGATGCCCATGGGCAGATTAACGGGTTGCAGCAGAGATGTCTTCAACTGGTGCATTTCAGAACATCCGTTTGTGCCTGAGATGGGAGCCCCCCCAGCAGCAAGCCACGCCGCAACTTGCGATGTGACTGCAGTGCAAAAGCACTTCTTGTGGTTTTTTTATGATCTGAAAGTAATTTTTGCTTCTTTAAGAAAACATATATGCAAACCACAGCCCGTCACCATGGTTACTGCTGTGTGCCGCTGTGAATAGCTTATGTTGCATCCTTAGACCTATAGGGTTTGGAAAGCATAATTCTTCTGGCCTTTCACCGCTTCCCCCCTTTGCTAGGCCACTGTCCTGCCGTTGCAAAAAAGCGTGTTGTAATTCGCCCCGCGCGCCGCCGGAGGAAGTGGTGGCTGTGCTGCCAGAGCACTGCAGCCTGCTGCGACGTACCCCGCGTGGCAGGACCCCAGGTAAGAATTATGCCTTCTACCCCACTCTGTGGCCCTTGCTGGCCATGCAAATTCACAGCGCGATAGCCTGCAGGTGTTTAGTGGGTTGCAGTAAGTTGTTCAGAAAGAAACTGTTTTATTATGTCTACCTTTCATAGTGCTGACTTCGGTGTATAGGTCTTGCTATCCTGAGATAAGTTGGGGAAGATTTAAATAATACATTAAAGAACTGAGCACTGCATGTGACATTTCATTATGCAAAGTTTGAGTAAAAAACCTCTGCATTTCCAAAGAGTATTAAAAGTCACAGGCGGATTTCAAAGTGGAACTTTTGCGGCGCTTGCTGGAGTGCAGCAGGGCCCTATGGTGTGGACCTCCTCCAGGACCCTGGGCGAGCTCCAACCCACACCCAGGAACATGCGGGACAATCCTGATGTGGGAGCCAGGTGCTGCAGCACCAATGAGTGCGTCTTTCTCTTCTGCTTTTACTATCATTTTGCCAGTTAATCTCCCAATGGTGCTTACAGCACTAGAAAAGTTGAAAGAAGTATTTTCCTGTGCTTAGCAGAGCCCCAGGAGCTGGTTTAGCCATGTGTTCTGTACTGTTGGTGGAGTGGAGATAGGGCTGGATGGCCTACGCTGGTGCTGAGGCATCACAGCCATGGCTATGCCACAATTCCAGTGCATTTCTCAGCAGGGGCAGAGTGCTGTTCCCCCTGGGTCCCTTCCAGCCGTGAGCAAGGCGGGGGGGTGCCTGTCATAGAGCACCTCTTCCGAGCCTGCTCCAGCCCCCCAGCTATCCTCGGGAAAGCTCTAGAGAAACTGAAATTACATTAATCCTCTGAGAGTAAACCCTTGGCTTGCTGCTGTGAAATACACTGCTGCTGGTGAATTACCTGCCAGTTTTCCATGATTAAATATGAGGCTGGATTGCAGGTAGGGTTTGCCTGGACTGAGAAGCCACACCACTGCCCAGAGAGGCTGAAGTGAGAGCAGACCCTGGCACTGCTGGCTGGGCACTGAAAGTGCAGAAGATGCAGCATATGTAATAATGATTTGCTGTGAAACTAGCAGTGTGGTTTTGCTCATTTATATCCTTGTAGACCAGTAGAGGTTTTCAGTATTTTAGTACTTTTAACACAAATACAATCACTTCATAGTTGCAAGTTTTAAAACAAAAGGACAATACAGTGGAAAGGCCAAGTCTAAAATTCTTGTATTATCTTTCCGAAAATTCACTTGCAGATAATATCATTAAAACAGCTAAAAAAAGCATCTTCTAGCACTGTAGTGTGGCAGTGATGGCCTCCATGTTGCTGTGAAGCAGAAGCGGAAGTTCGTTACTGCAGAAGCTGTGCTGTGGTAGAAGAGATGTAATGATTGCTTTCTCCATTGGCAAGACTGAAATTTAATGTCAGGCCTTTTGGGGGGAAGTTGAGTTTCATGAGTGCTGAACAAATAAGGGCAAAAGGAAGCAAACAGCTTCTCCAGGATTGTAATCGTGTTTAGTCTGTTTGAAGTAATTTGTGCATCTGCTTTTAATACAGGCAATGAAAAAAAAAAAAAAGAAACCAGAGTGCAAGTTTTGTTTTGTGACTATCGTATCACAGCTATTTGGTATGATAAAATGAACCCACAAGACATAGTTAAAGCTAGATGTATCTGCACTGTGATTTTTGTTTATCTGTGGAACAGACGGGTATGGCAGCACCCTGTACTCCTCCCAGGTGGGAGCTCTGCAGTCACCACAGCCTGGTGCTGCTGCTGTCACTGGGTGGATCAAGGGCAGACAGCTAAGGAGTCTGCAGGTTGCTTCATGCAGTTATCCTTGGAGTGCTATGTTACTGTAAATATTAAGGAGAGAAGCTTTGCTCTGGGATGCACAGTTGGGGGGCCAGTGCAGCTGTGGCCCAGGGGAGGCTGCAGGCATGATGCAGCACTGGCGGGGAGCATGGTGGGGCACAGGCACCTGACAGGGCTGGTGTTTTACCCAAGCTGCTTGCTCACCTCTGCTGCACAGAGTAGTCCAGAGACCTTTCCTGGACTAAATTAGGTTCTGGATTAAATTAGGTTCTTAATTGTTGAGTTTTTGCTTTTCTTTAGCAAAACATTCCTGTTTGATTTACAGTCTTACCAAAGCAGGAGTTGGGGTTTGGAGTAAAATGCTGGTGCAAGCGAAGCTGGAGGCTTTGGTCCTCTCTGGGGGATTTGGTCCTTGCTGTTTGGGTATGCAACAGTCTGCACACCTCCAGTCACCAGTGCCTGCCTACCTTTAGGCACCTGGTCTCTGCAGGGACCCTGTGGCTGCGTGGGGAGGCAGCAGGCTGCCAGGGGGGCTGCCTTCATGGAGTAACGGTTGAAAGACGCTTGCTGAGTTGGTGCTTAAAGTAGCTGTGGTTTGTGCACCATGGGTTACCTTCTCCTGTACATACAGAATCTCTTACAAAACAGATCTTTATGGGAGGGCTGGAAACACTCCATAAGGCATTCATAACATAAGTTTCTTAGTTCTGCAGACTGAAGTAATCTGTCAGAGTATTTATCACATTTGTAGTAACAAAGAGAAAATTTAAATCTATTTTCACCTCATGTCCCTAATGCCATGCTGGTTACAGCATGACCTATCACTCAGAGTTTTCCCTTTAAACTTTTCCCTTCACATAATTTTGGAGTAGGAAATGAAGTGGGAAGTGCTTCTATTCTGCTTGAGGCATAGCTGTGAAAAGGATGCCAACAGCCACCCTCACGCAGGGCACCGAGGACACATTGGTGTCCCAGTGCTGTGCCTCCAGAGCTTCTGCCAGTCTGGGCTGGGTCAGTGCTGGCCCTGCAGCCTTTCTGGATGGGTTCTGGAGGGAAAGGCAGGCTCCCATTGCACAATTTTTGGAAGTCAGACTCTTGCTTCACTTGCACCAGAGCTGCCTCCCTCAGCCAAGAGAGTTCCTCTTTTTTGCTCCTGTTATAATAACACATAATAACTCTAAAACATAAAATATCTCTCAAAATACCTTGTGTGTTCACAATTTTCTTTTCCTTTGTCTCCTAATTTATGTCTTTTTGCTTGAATGACACATGAATCTAAGTGTACACTGATATATTTCTTTCTCTTTCTCTGCTGTAAGATTAGTCCATTGTCTCGTTTGGTATCCCAGATGGTAATTATAATTATTACCAGATGATACTCTGTGAGCCCCCTGAGATTTCCTTACAGTTTCCCCTCTACCATGCCCTACCTGGACATCTTGTTACTGCAGAGCTTGTGTTTGGCATCTGTGCTTCAGGGTTTAATCCCCATAACCTATATAAACCTATGTGAAACAGAGTATGTTCACTTTGGAGGATACAATAAGAAATTACATCCCAGATGAGCAGGGCATAAACCTTATGATAGGCATACTGGAGCTGGACCTTGTCAAAAGAGGGGCATGTTTGAGCAGAGCCCCAGAAGAAACACCCGGTGGTGGCAGTTCAGGCATGGCTGGCAGACGGAGGCTGGCAGAGTTGCTGCCATCACAGGCAGAATGTACCAAACCCAGCAGGCAGGTTGCTGTGTGCTGTCACATGAAAATGGGGTTGATTGGAAAATGAAACTAAATAAACCTAACTGCCAATGAGACCAAATGACAGCTATGGAGCTAGACGCTTTAAACAAGGCTGCAGGGAGCTGGGAAGGGAGCTGCCACACTGGCTGTGAGAATCTCGGTGCTCACACATGCACTCTTGCCGAGGCAGTTCCAGGAGGCACAGTTTAGACACAAGTTGGTTTTTTTTTTAAAAGCTAGCTTTGTGGATAGAAAAGATCATTTGTGCAGACATCGGCCTATATAAGTCATTTAACAGAAATCTGGGCAGTGAGGAGTTTGTACAGAAAACATTGTGACCAGAACAACTGCTTTGAAAATGCCCAGCATACTGATGTAAGCATTCAGAGAGGAAGTAGCCTCATGTATTCCTTTGTGATAGAACAGAAACAGGAAGAGCAACAAATGATCCATTACAGTATTTGTTCTCAGAGACTATCAAGGCGTGTGCAACCAGTGCTGAAGTTATCTGAGTGGTACATCTGTACCGCTGATGCTTTGTGTGACGACAGGCAAATGCATGGAAGTTAAGCAAACAGAAAAATACAATGGGATACCAATTTTTGTGAATTTTTTACTAATCAGGATTAGACTTCTCTGAAACACAAGTGTAAATTCGTGGCATATTTTCCTAAAAGAAAAATTAATGTTTCTTTCTGTCCTTTCAGTCTCCAGTTTCTGTAAAAAAGCCCCCAAAGATAAATACAAAATATCAGCAAGATCTCACAGTCAGTGATGTGCCTTTGCTTCCTCAGGCATACAGCCCCACAGGCTGCTCCTCAGACAGCTCCTGAGGGGGGATGGCCAAGGCAGCCCAATACTCATTACAGGTTCGGGAGTTCTGCATGGTCTGTTGCAGGGCGTGATTAGAGCACATAATCACAATAGAAGTTAATTATATTCATTACAGACTGTATAATAGAACAAAATGTCTGAATAAGGAAACAGCTGGAGTTCAGATCTCTTGAGCAGGTAACATTATTTGTCTCCCAAAATAAAATGAGGAATTATTCTTCAAAGTGGAAAAGCATGTTATAACCTCATTTCACAAAACATAATTCTTTGCTTAGTTCAGCCCTGGGTACAGATTAGGGGAAAAGGCAAATTTAAAGGCAGGTTTCTTCTAGTCCCCAAGCCTAATAAATATCAACAGTGGTTTGGCTTATTCTGTTATGCATTGAAGGATGCGGCAGATGTAATTCTGAGCAATCGAAATTTCACAAGTCAACAGCAGTTCAGTATCTATAAATGAATAAAAGTAACATTTAATTGCAGTGGAAATGCTACTTTAGTAGTGATTTCATTTGTAAGATAAAAATAAAAGTATTCTGGAACAACTGGGTATGGTAACAAGTGATGCTCAGAATTATAAATACAACTTAAAAGATTTGGAAGAAAAAGACAAGCATAAGAGGGAGAAGATAGAAAGACAAAGTTCTC